AAATTATGTCCGGGCAGTACACCGTGCTAATGAAGCAGCGCAAACATATTCACCAATGAAGATGTTCAAGTACGTGGAAAATAATGCGCGTCTAAAAGCTGTTCAAGACCCAGGTGAAAGACAAAGGCTCATTGACATGGAAAAATATCCACACTACGAGGCTTTTATGTATGGTGCTGAAATGATTAGACCAGGTGATCTAGTACGATTAGTACCTGAAAACTCCATGGATCTCGACACCGAACCGGAATATCCCGAGTTTCTCGAAATTCGAACCATTTATCGGCATCCAGAAAAAGGAATGCAGTTTACAGGCAACATTTTGCAACGTGGAGAACTTTTAAATAAAACTGGTCCAGTAAAATTAGAAGATTATAAATGGTGGATTGTAAGTTGAAATGGGATCAAAAAAAATTTTTTTTTTACCTGTAAATCTGACATTATTTAACCATCTACACACAGTCACATGACATTGCTGAAGAATATACCATAGATCTTGAAGATATTGCAGGTCGCTTTTATTTAATGATGCCACACTTAACAGCTCGCACTACAGCTCGTGTTTTCAAAAAGTTAAATGATCGGATGGAAATTATTGAAGCTGGATCAGAATTAGAAAAGTCACAAGAAATTTCTTCGAATATCGTTCCTCCCAAAAGAAACATGGCTAAATTGAGTACACGTATTGACAATTCTGATGAATCAGCCTCCCCACAAAAAAGGCAAAAGAAATATATTGTCAAAATTCCAAAAAAGAATAGTGTTAAAAAACCAAAGAAAAACAAGGAATTAACAAGTTCTTAAATTCGATTATAATATAGGTATTGGCACTAGGGTTGATAAAGTCCTTAGGTCCGGGACTTTAGGACCTGGTCTTTAAACCTGGTCTTTAAAGACCAAGTCCAAATTTAAGGACTTAGGGTCCTTAGGTCTTTAAAAAGTCCTAATATACAAATTTATAATTGCATAATTCTGGACAATATATATACAGTATAATTCAATAAAGTTTTAAATGCATAGTTTAAGATCATAATCAT